TTTTAGGAAATCGAAGGTATCAACACGAAAGGTCACCATGACATCCATGTTTTAGGAAATCGAAGGTATCAACACGAAAGGTCACCATGACATCCATGTATCGATGGTATTAATACGAAAGGTCATCATAATATTTTTTCTGTGTAATATTGAAAGAAGTGATGGAATTGTTTCATTTTTACCAAATCGTCTTTTAACTGTAACCAATGAAAGGTCATATTAAAGGTAATGTTATTATGTTATTTTGTGTGTGTTAAACGTAATTGTAAATTATCAGCATTTCGGGTACCCAAAACGGGAATAATATCATTGATCGTCTTTTAACTGTAACCAATGAAAGGTCATATTAAAGGTAATGTTATTATGTTATTTTGTGTGTGTTAATCGTAATTGTAAATTATCAGCATTTCGGGTACCCAAAACGGGAATAATATCATTGATTGGAGAATTGTTGAAGTATTTCTTCCAAAGTGTGATAAACCGAACTGGGAATGAACGCATACTGGAACAGTAGGTAAAGTGGATGAAGATATTATTATCGTAATCGACGTTTGATTTTGTCTCAAAGGGATGGTCGATGATTGTTCGACGAATTTCATCATAATTTTGAGATGATATTTGTTGATTTACTCGAAATTTCTTTGAGACTTGATCAAATTGTTCTTGGATGAATTTACTTGGATACTTGTTCAGCAGTAGAGCCATTCGTAAAGATTCTCTTTCTTCAATGAATAAGTAGAACGATGAACAATATCGGATTGCGCGAATCAACATTGCAAATGGAATATTTTTCTTCATGTGCATTGGATGAATGCTGTTGAACGGTAAATAGTAAGGCTCGTATGACGAGGGTGAGGGTGAGGGTGAGGGTGAGTTAATTTACCACAATACATAGTATGTATTTCACGATTTATTTTAAATCGATTATCAAGTGGCATAGCATTAGTTAAATGATTCACAAGATGATTTGTAAATCAAAACATAATACTAGTGGAATATCAACTAGAATCGAAATCCTAGGAGATATCTTAATAGATAGAAGATGTTTAAGATTGAAAGCATCACACGACGCGTTTCGATCAGGGCTTAATCTGATCATCATCAGGCATGTTTAACAATCTATCATTACATCAAGATTAAAACTCTACAAAAATTCAAAAGAATTTTCGAGAAGTTAAAATCAAAATAAAATTCTGGTTAGGAATTGAAAGCATCACACGACGTTTCGTCCTTGCTTAAGGGAGTCATCATGTATATTTACAATTCAGTGTATCATGAACATGATAAATCATGAACAATTCACGCAATTTCTAATCAAAATAAAATTCTGGTTAGGAATTGAAAGCATCACATGTTGTTTCTTACTTTCTCGAGGTTTTCTCAAGTTCGCTGTATTATCATTAGTCGAAATTCGCATTCCATTTTCGACGCAATGTTTCTCTCAACTGTGTTAGTGCTTCGTGACACCCACACTGTCGAGTATGTGTATGTAGATGTTTGTTACTGAAGTGGGTTAGTGTTTCGTGACACCGGCACTATCGAGTGTGTGTATGTAGGGATACATTGGTGAGATGTGTTAGTGTTTCGTGACACCGGCACTGTTGAGGATGTGTATGTAGATGTTTGTTACTGAAGTGGGTTAGTGTTTCGTGGCACCCGCACTATCGAGTATGTGCATTTGGGTATTGGTTGTCGATTTGTTTGTGTGGAAGACTCGCTAATAGACGCGTCTCTGTTGATGTGAAACTCTGTCAATGAAATAAATAGGATAATATTCTAGATGTGTATCTTTTATTCAATTCAGTAATGTCTAGATAGATGTTGTCAGCAACTAATGAGTCTAGTAGATGAAATGACAAATAGAGTGAAAGGTGAACAAACGAAGGAAATATTTTTCAATGTTAATGATAAACGAGTAGTAGGAAGAAATCGAAGAATATCTATGTGTCAGGATGGGTTTGTCGGTAGTGTTGATACATTTTTTCAAATTCATCCACGTCTCCCATTCTTGCTTCATTGCTACTCAGTGATGAATCAGTCGAACTTTGAGTATCATCAGTGGTAACTTGATTTCGCTTTGAACGACGTCGATAGAAGTATTCATCAGATTCTAGAATAGAAGACGGAGATTTTTCAAAGTTATGATCGATAGTAGGAGAAAGTGAATTTCTAGATTACTCATAATGTAAATCACAGCTCGTTGTTGCCAATACTCAGATGATCGCTTTTGATTTTCATCAATAGGTTCGGCAAGCAATGATCCAACATGTTGAGGATTGAGAAGAACAATCGCTGGTTGTCGCACATTGATGTCTTTGCTCGGGCGATATTTATCAGTCGCCTAGAAAGAACAATTGAGACGATTAGTGATATCGAAATACTGAGATAGTGGTTTTCATGATTCGTATTCTAGTGAATAGACTTACAAAGACAGGATTTTCTTGTTGTGTGAGTAGACTTTGTTTTGGTGGAAAACCTAATTTTTCAAAATCATCCCATGGAATATCATCGTATACAGAATATCGAGCATAATCATTCCATCGATCAAGATTCCATCTTCCTTGATAATAATTCACTTGGCCAGGTAACGATAAAGCAAAAGATGTTTTGCCAACACCAGTAGGACCAATGATGATGAGACATTTTGCACGTGAAGTACGAGAAAAATGATGTTTGATCCAACGATCAATAGTAGTACCTAGTTTGATTATAGATTGACAGTAGGTGAGAAAAAGAGATGAAATCAAAGAGAAATAACATACGAAGTTGTAGTGTACAATCAGGAAATGACAGAGGCCAACAATATTTTTTATCGATTGTATTTCGTCGTTGTAGACTTTGTTGAGCCCGTAAATGGACATATTTTAATGTTCCTAGATACCTATAGAGATATTTCAATCGATATATAATTCGATGCTATGTAGTCATTCGATCATACCATGAACCATGATCGAGGAATCGATCAGCACTCGCTTGTCGAAGATAGTCCATGGCACTATGAACATTCGTCTCAGCTAATTGTAGGACACGATTCGCTATTTCAATTCGTTTTTGACGTCGTTCTTCGGCTTGTCCACGAACTGTTGTTGTTGTTGTTCGAGGAACTGTTGGTAGAACAGATCGATCAACTATAGATGTTGTTGTTGTTGTTGGTAAAGAGATGTGTGGTACTGGTGTTACCAATGTGGATGCTGTTGTAGATTCAGATGGCCATTGCTTCTGACTACGTATCCGAGTTGATTTAAACTCATTGAATTCGATGTAATTGTCACCTTTCTTAACATATTCATTCCATGCTAAATCATTCTGTGTCACTTGATAATTGCATCGTGTACGAGTAATATCATCGAGGAAAGGTTTTCTACGATCGATTTTCTCTTTCAATATGATCTGTATATGTAAATGTCGTCGATGATTCAATTCGCTGATTTCTTCACCAATACATATATATTGAATATTTTCAATACCAAATTCATGTTTGATATAATCGAAGACGATCTCTTTTGAGATTTCTGTCCATGATGTAATTGCGAAAGATTTCGCATGCAAACGAATCGATTTTGATATTGTCGATGGAGCTGCCGCTGCTGCTGCTGCTGTTGATGATGATGATGACGGTAGTTCAAGATTAAATTGACATTCTTGAGCAATGGTTTCTCGATTGAGATGACCATAATCAGCATAAGGACGATCATGATCTCTCACTAAACCTGTTTGATGTATGGGTGGATATGGATTCTGTGACAGAATAGTTGTTGTCAGTGGCGGTGGTGCTGATGATGACGACAATTCACTAATCTCCTGTTGTTGACTGGTATGTATTGGTAAATTTAATTGACTGAGTAATACTTGGACCATTTCATCATGTTCTGGTGGTCGAGAAATAATGAATTGTGTAAGACATTCGATCTCCCGCTCTCTCATTTGTGAAAGGACGACATCGAGATTTTCATCTTTATGATCAGTGTCGATTGGATGATGAGAAGACTTTTCAGCATAAACTTCGTTGACAATCTCTTCAAATCGATCCGAAGTAATAATTGTACCCGGTCGAAATAATCGTGGTCTTCGATCGATTGGTGATGGAGTAATAGAAATATTATCAATATTAGCGAAATGACGTGTAGGAATATCACTAGATGCCTAAAGATCACAGAAATCAGTACTATCAATCAATCGAAGAACATCTAGGAGACATACTATAGGCAAAGTTGTTGGACGTAAGAGTGTATTCACACTAACCACTTCTGCATTGGGAGCGTTTCTTGCATTCGTCTCATTTCTTCGCTGAACAGCCGAAGCAGTTGAATGTTGATCGTTCTCCATTTGTGAACGAGTAATGTGTGTCAATAAATGTTCCTGTGAAATAATATCTACAACGAGATCAATTAACAGATGAAAAGATCATATCAACCAACTAATACTGTCCTTCATAATCAAAAACACGACAATAATGATCGAGGACGACACACACACTTACTTGTTTGACCATCAACTGCTCAATAAATCAACAAACAAGAGGTATATATATCTCTCTCGAAGAACAATCGAGAATGAGTGAGAGAGACAGAGAAGAAGAGACAAAGAGAAAGGAAAAGGAAGAGAACGAACAAATTGATCGAACAGGAAAGATAAATTCGATGACCGATGACAATAATCGAATTAATCGTCGCACACTTGAACAGAAGGTCAATATATATCCCATATCGACAACAATAGAGAAGAACAGATCCTCCTACCGATTATCTATCCCGACGACAATAGATGAGTCACATATTCGTCCGAGTGACATTGCTCATTGACCCGCTTCATCGCGCACGAATGATCTGTCGAAAAGGACGTCCGATCGAACAAACACGATAACCACCACTTCCACACTCACAAAGGACATCCCATATCAGATGACATCCTCTAGATGAGTCATCACTATTATAATTGCTCAGCAACAACAAAGAGATGAAGAAGCATCAGATCCATCTTGACAGTTGTGATTGATGACGTCACACTTGTGTCCACCGCACCTTGGTGTCTATTGCATCAAGTCCACTCAGTTGTGGTAGTTGCAAAATCAACTCTATTCCTTGGCGAAATGGCAATGTCTTTGATCTCAGTGTCTAGACAACAAGAAAATCTTTGACTTCAATCATTTTTCTATGGTAAAAATGACTGGACTTGATAGTTGTGCTGACCATTTGATCAGACTATTTGACTTGTTACGCTACTGCTTTGTATCTCTAACTGTGTATTGTCACTCGTTTCCACCTCTGTTGCTGTTGCTGAGGGTGAGGGTGAGGGTGAGGGTGAGTATAGCAACCATGATCCAGATTTCGTCCCCGCTACAGGACTCGTCAGATGGCTTCGACTCTGTTATAGTCGTTCAAATGAATCAAACCTCGAAAGAGGTAGAAACACAAACAAACTATAATAATCTATCAGGTGTCAAGAACAATACTAAGAAACAAAGTTCCTTAAACTGTCTTGAAAGCAATAGATATCCTTAAAAAGGTGTGAGTATAGCAACCATGATCCAGATTTCGTCCCTGCTACAGGACTCGTCAGATGGCTTCGACTCTGTTATAGTCGTTCAAATGAATCAAGTCTCTCTTCAATATGCTTGATTGAAGTTATCTGTCAGTTATAGTTTGAATGCTGAAACTGCGTCAGTGGGGATCAGTATCATAGTAGTGATTGACATTTTTCTCGTCTGCGGAAGTTGTTTTTGGGAGATCCTACGCTCCTGGTAAGTGTTCGTGAGAAAAATGAACAAGGTGTTTATTAGAAAAGAAAGCGATAGGTGAGTTTCTTTTGGTGACTGAGATACAGTGTTCGTGGTGTTCTGTCAGGCATGGGGATCGTTATTGTTGTTCGGTTTGTTCAATGGTTGTCGGGATGGTTATTGTTGAATCGTGCCAGTTCTCTAGCGAGATTGGGATTCGTGCGATTACCGACAATAAGGCGCGTTGACTCCAGTGGCGTATTGTGGAATGTTTCATTCCAAATTTGATGGATTGCTCGTCGACAAGTGGCAAATCGTTTCTCATGTGTATAATGAACTATAATGGAACTCGCTTGCTCGCGGCGTTTCAGAAGCTTCTCTTTCAGGAGCGAATCTATGTTTGTTGGAAAATTATCATAATTCATTGTTCGAGCAATACGTGCGGCTCGTTGATGCTCTTGGACACTGGCTTGATCTAGTAAGTGTCGTCGTGTAAGTAAAAATTCATTCTCGTCGTGGATCATTGGTACTATCGATGTTGAGATGATAGAATATTTCGTGAGGAACTGCTGAAAGTGACTATGAATATAACGTGGTGGGTACCTAGAAGAAACAAAGGATAGTCTCCATATGATAGAGGAACAAGAAACGAATGAATCAACAAACCCATTGTAAAGTAACATTAATTTGATAGCACGTCGTTCATGGTTGAATTCAGTTAAATTCGATGAATAACGAAGAGCACGAAGTAGTGCACATTCGATAATATTCACGAAGACATGTCGTGCATGATCCGATTGGAATGGGACAACGTAAGGTTCAGCGGCTTCTTTATGATATACAGATGTTAGGAAATTCGTACCGATATTGGTTAACTTAACGTCCAAAAATGAAGTAGGATTCTCAATTTTCGAGGTTATCTTAATATTCGGATGACGATGATTGGCATCTTTTAGCATCGTATTGATCTGATCAATCGAATCGTTTGAAGTAAAGAAGATATCATCAATATATCTAGAAGATAGATGATAGAAATGAGAGAAAAACTAGAATAAGTTAAAAGATCAGTCTACCGTCCATATAATTCATTGGAATTTCGTTGCTGTTCCATTAATTTCTGTTCCCAATGCCACATGAATATGTTGGCTATGGTTAAAGTAAAAGGTGATCCCATAGCACCACCTTTGATTTGACGATAATATTTTCCTTCATAGATAAAAACATTCTCTGTCAGAACAATCCGTGCTAAATTTTCGATTGCCTCCATAGTCATGCCTTGCACATGTGTGTATTGGAAATGCTGAAGAAACTGTTTCAAGATAGTAATCGATTCTTCTTGTGGCAACATGGTATAGAGATCAGTGACATCACATGTACATAATTGTGTAGTCGATTTCAATAGACCTAACTGAACGTAAAATTCCAGACGACGAATAAATTGAACACCATCAACAAATGTTGTTTGTTGAACATGTTCATCAAATAGAGGTCGAATCAATCGATCTAACATTCTGGATATACCAGTCGTTGGTGCATGAATAGATGAAACAATAGGTCGTAATGGTGTGCCTTTCTATGGAAAACCATGAAAAAAATCAGAGAAAAGTCATTCACTGACACTATTTCATGATTTACTTTGTGTGGTTTTGGTATGAAGTAAAGATAAGCTAATTTTACTTTCTTTTGATCTGGCATCATTTTTTTGTATTGCCATACTTTAATCTGTTTCTTCGCCGTTAGATTATTCAATAAACGTATGACTTTATTAAATGTATCCATTAATGGATTTGACGGTAATTCTATATAGGCTTTCGTTTTCTTTTGATATTCCAATACTTTTCGATCATAATCACTTTTGTAACTAATATGCAGGACACCACTTTTATCTGATCGTTGAATAACGACAGATAATTTTTTTAATTTTCTCTGAATTGACAAAACTGTTCTTAAATCTCTTCGAGTTCGATGAATATCATGATAGGACAAAGAAGTAGAAAATTGTTGGGTAAACATTATTTCCAGTTGTTCACTGAATTTCTTCAAAATAGATGATTTGCTTGGTACACCATGGCGATTATGAAGATCCGAAGCTAATTTATCCATGATAGTCGTATGTTGATGTTGGATCTTCTTTTGAATCACATTCTTCTTCTTGACATAACTCTGATTCAGTCGAATATAACTAGGTCCTCCTGAAACAAATAGATAAAAATGAATCCCTTTAGTGGCCAAAACAAAGAAAAATGTTACCTAATGATGAGAGCAAGTCTAATTCTTTTTCCGTAAATACTTTTTCGAATATTTCAATAATTGCTTCTGGATAAATACTAATGGTATTTTTATTATTCTTACTCATCGATGAACGACGATGATTCGGATGTAATAGTTTACGACGAAAAATAGTTTCATTGAAACGTATGACACGTATTTGATTCATAGTCCAACAATGAAGATAGTTATAGAGACAATTCATTAAATGTTCATTTATTTGGCTATTCTCTTCGTTTGCTAACGGTAATTCAAAATTCAACAATTCGTTTTGATATATGAATTCGTTTTGTTCAATCGTGGACTCATATTCTTCCAAATGCTTGGCAAGTATATATCGTTTACAGTCTCGCACAAGTCTCTGATGCTTCTTAACCATTTCATAGAGATTAGAGTCATCATTTCGATTTGGCAGATTCGATGGTGTGCATAGATCCAATTCATCGATCGGTTTAGGTAAGATTCGACATAGAATTCGCACTTCTAACTTCGTCATTTCTTCAAAGCTTTCCAATTGCTGTTGACGCAAATGACATAACCGTTGAATACACAGCTTCTAAAGAAAATTTAGTTTACAAAAATAGAACATATCGATACTTTGAATAAGAAGTGACTCACTTGTTCCGCCGTTAAGGAATAGGATACTAATTGCTGAAAGACTTCCCTTTCATATATCTGTGCTTTAAATTGACTGATTCGAAAACTAATCTTTCTTGTGACATCGAGATGATGTAAACGAACGAAGTCTTTTAGTGAGCTTTCAATTATTGATAATTGCATCGATGATGGACATGATAATGATTGAGTCATTAGCTGTGCTGTGCATTGATCAAATTTGACCTGTAATCGATGGAGATATTCTCGAAGACTTGTTTCTAGTACATAGTAATCTTTGTCCAATGATATAGACATGATATCATCCTATTCATCAGACAAACCAAAGTTCTCAGAATAGAACTGTATCTTTACTTACTGGCCATATATGATGACGTGAACCATCAAAGAAATACGATTGGTATAAATGTTGATCGATACTAATACGAAATTGTTGATCGAGTAATTGAAGTCTCGATAGAATGAATGCTTTTTCTTGTTTCTCCCTTAAAGAATGCTTCAGTTGAGAACGTAAAGAATGGAGAAGTAATTTCTTAGGCATATGTAAGTATTTAGATACACTACAGATAAAGTTCGAGACTGTAACGATGAATAGATTTTTATTTAGAATTCAACTTACATTGAATTATGATTGCCGAACGCCGTATCATTCCCTTCTTTGCAAGTCTTGACTTTTTTTCGTAATGGCTGCTGTTGTTGACAAATGGACAGTTGACTCATCGATCGAATCGTTGTATTAGTGCCTTGAATGTTTCCATTGGATCGCTTTCTTTTACCGATTCGTTTCTTGTTCTTCGTAGGTTTCTTCGACTTCTGAGAAGATTGATCAGATGTAACGTTGTTTTCATTACCTCGACTGTTCAGTAATTCTATTATCTGTTCTTCATTCATGCCACGTGATCGACATTTACGTTTAAAACGCTGTAATTTTCGATTCCCATGGCTCTTCTTTTTCTTTTGTTTTGTGTCAAGTCGTTGTTCATCAGTCTCCATCAGTGATTGTCCCTCGACTTGATGCGCACACATCGTTATATTAGTGCTTTCCATATCTACTAATTCATCTAAAACGAAATAAATAGAAACGAAGACAAAGAGATAGTTGTTTATGATGGCTAGCAAACAGGAATTTAATGAATGGAAATATAAAGTGAGTAGAAGATAGCAACAAAACGAAAAAACCGAGAGACAGAAAAAATAGTCTATCTATTCCCTATATCTATTTCTGATTCAATCTAGATTTGTATTAACTAGTAAAGTTCATCAATAATATTGAACATCGTGCAACATTGGAATGTTCCCGGTAACATATTCAAGGTTAGATTTATGTTCTTCTTGTTTTTGTTTCAATTTCTTTTCCACACGTTTTCGTTCATATTCTATAACATTCTCACGCAATTCATCGAAGATATGTCGATCAAACATCATATGATCTAATTCTTCCATGTAAAATTCATAGAAGAATGCAACGACATATTCATGAATAAAACTAGCTGGAAAACGGTTGAGTGAAAATGATAATTCAATATATTGTCGTTCTTGTTGGAATTCGTAAACATCAGAACAACAAAGTACAGCACGAATCAATGCTGCTCGAATTAATTTTGAATGCATCAGATCAGATGGATAACCATACAGATAAGGTAATGTATATGGTTCACTCTTCGATTCATGATTTACGTACGTTGTTAATTCATTTGCACTTTGATCGTCTTCATCAGAAAAATATCTGATGGAAGCATCGAGATAATCCAGTTCTGTTCCGATCGTGTACTGAACTTGAATCGAAGAATTTTTCATATTGATACTATGAATAAACGTTTCAAGTTCATTAGCAGATCGATTCCATGTGAAAAATATTTCATCAAGGAATCTAGCAACAAAAAAGAAAATAGCAATCCATAGATATGTTGATCGAGATGGAAGAGATCGAATGTACCGTCCATAAATCTCTTGTTGTTCTTTTAAAGAAGAAACAAATTCTTTTTCCCACTGGAAAAGAATGATATTCACTAAGAGTGACATCAATGGTGAACCACAAACACTACCACGAATTTGACGGTAAATCTTATTATTATAGACGAACCATTGCTGATCAACAAGTAAACGAACTAATTGAACAATAGTTGAAATTGATACGCCTCGGAGATTCCCTGATGATACATGATTCGTAAGAAAATGTTCCAATGCTTGAACAGCTTCTTCATGATCAAACATGGACGAGATATGTTGAACATGTAAAGTAGCAAATAATGTCATCGATCGTAAAAAACCTTGCTTCTTATATTTTTCCAGACTGAGAATCATATCAGCACCTTTAGCAAAACTAATACTAGATGCCAGTTGATCATACGTAGGTTGTAAAAGACGATGTAACCATCGAGATATGTTAATCAATGGACTTGCAGATGAAACCACAATAGGCTGTACAGATACGTCGTTCTACATTCAATGAGCAGTGATACTTGAGGAAGAATATATATATATATATATAATATTTACTTTACGAGTATCTGGCAAAAAGAACAAGTAATCGAGTCGAACTTTTGAACGATGAATTTGCATGTCTTGATGCTGCATCGAATTTATACATTGTTCTTCCAATAGATGATCAAGTGCAGTCTTGACGTTGTTAACCAGACCATCAAGATGTGTTTCGACAGAAGCACGATTTGTCTCGTTTAGTTCTTCGATCAAACTATATGCATTGGTTTCTGTGAAGAATTTCGAGATGTTTGTTTCGAATTCATCGCTAGTACATGAATACATTGCATGAGATTTGTAAGTTTTTAAAAGAAGACGATTCTGTTGTTTGAATGCCTCTCGAATAAGTCGTATGTCCTTCTGTTGGACAAGATACAGTGGACGTGCATGTAATCGATATTCAGGTACGTGAACGATAGAAATTCTTTTATCCTTTTCTTTTCTTTTTTTCCCATCATGGGAAATACATTGTTTTCTCGGATTTTTATCGTTTTGATGATCATGCTCTTCAAAACCATCATCATCGTGCATGTCAAATAACTGAACAACAATATCCACTGATCCTTGTATTTCATCGACCATGCTTCAAGATTTCGTTTTTTGTTATCTGAAAGGAATCAGCAAACAAACCTTATCAAGAATCATTCCCTAGAACTTCAGTAAAAAAAGAATGAAAAGAGAATATTCGAAATCAATGATCATATTCAAGTCTCGCACAAGCATATGCAGTACTTTAAGTTTGTGTATGGTCAAGCTCCGCTCTAAGGCAAAAACAAATCGGAAAACAAACTATCAGGTAATAATCATCAGCCAAGTATATATTTTCATTAATGAATGTCCATAAACAAGTAAGATCTGATTTGATCGAATAACCGAGTATAGATGATACGATCAAAGATCACGTCGTTACCTGACCAGAGCTCTTCTTCGCCGTCATATGAATGTGACGTTTCCATCCGACACTATGTGGAAGTGAAGAGGTGGGTTTTGTCGGACAAATGGACGCGAGAGAAAAACCAACTTCTAGGATTACTAACAATATCGTTGAGCGATAGAGTGAGAGCATGATATATACAAGAATATTTCCAAGCTACGTACAACGCGAGAGGGTGAGTTCATTCACCGCAATACATGGTATGTATTTCACAATTCGTCGTAAATCGATTATCGAGTGGTATAGTATCACTTAGATGATTAACAAGTAATGGTGATTTAAAACATTGTAGAAGATACTATAACTCAGAGGTGAGTTCATTTACTTAAGTATATAATATGTAGTTCAGTCTTACTTGTAAAGTTGTGGAATGATCAATTGTCTTCGAGACGTTTCAGTTTGTATCATTTACATTGATCCGCTGATTATTGTAATCGACTGGTGTCGTTGGTGATTCGATTTATATGGTTTGTGACGATAATCTGTCGACAGAATAAGATCGGCTGTTACGATTGTTTCATATCAATGTTTTGTTCACAATCGTCCACGGTAACTGTCGTTTTGGAATGTGGGAATTTATCTGAAAGAAAATTGAAGTCTGGCTAATGCTATGTATTAAACGATGTTAGAGGAGGTTTCAGTGACAATGTGGATCGAAAGGATTGCAGAAAAATGCCACAGATCAGTATGGCAAAAAGCTAAGATGACAAAAGCATAGACCAAAAGTTTCGATCAGTCCTTTTGTGGTGTTTTCGGCATTGTACTCTTAGACACTTTGGTTGGGATATGCGACATAATTCCAATCGATATCTTCATCGGAGTTTCAACCGAAGTACTGACAGATTTCATGACTGGTGGTGTCGATGGCATAGTACTAGTGGATTTCATCCCAATCGGTGTCATAGGATCCGTAGCAGTTGATTTCACTCCTGCTGGAGTCATTGGCATCGTTCCAATCGATTTGTATCCTTCTGGTGTGCTCGGATGTCTATCAGTTGAAATCACTATAACAGGTGTTGTCGGTGCCATTACAATCGGTTGTCTCGACAGGCCTGTTGTTGGTGAAAGCAAACTGACCATATGATGTTGTTGTTGCTTTTGTTGTTGACTAATACAATCCATAACTGAATGTAATGCTGCTGTTACTTCTCGATAATTTTGACCTAGATAATGCACGATATGTAGACGAAAATGTGTCTGTACTTGGAATTACTACTTTGCTCAAGAAATCCAGATGGATGAAGTTGATTAGAGTCGTCACTGGTCTAAGTGGATACGGTAATTGAGCATTTGAAGAAAGTAAATAAGAACTTGTATCACTTACTTCATAGATTGCCGTATCCAGGAGATTCGGTGTTGTTTCTACCAGTGGTGTTAATTCATCACCAGGTCCGACTTAGAAGAAAAATGAGAAATGAAATCTAACATCTCTTCCAACAACATACCAACTGCTTCTGACTCTGATAGTTCATCAGATTCATAACCTCTAGCTTCGGCAATAGCTCGCTCCAGTTCTTCGTAAGCTAGATCAATGGTATCTTTTGTTCTATTCATTATCGACAATATCAGTGACGAATGTATCTAGAATGTGAAAGAACATGAGATCACTAGGACTAATATCAGATCAATAGAAAAACCGGAACAAAAAGTTGAAAAAGAACAAGTATCTATGGTTGATTTTGCATGATATTGCTAATAAACTAACGATGCATATTCGCACACCATGCGACATCAAAGACTGGGCCATAGCGTAATTGAGAATCACCACCCATTGGACAAATCATGTTTAATTTTGTTTCCCCATGAATAATGAACAATGTTTCGATTAAATACCGTAAAAATCGAGAACTTTGCTCTGGTACTAGAATGAAACCATTATTGACAGCATAGCTCAAATAAGTATGAATACTGACAAACAGTAATAACTTTGTATTGATATAAATCCAATGATCGATAGGAGAATGGTAGGAATGACAGTGCCAAGAAACTGCGAAAAAATCGACGTTGTTTCTGTTGTTGTCGGTGGGAAAAGGCGAATGTCGACGGTGGAATTGGTACACGTTGAATATAATTCTGTAATTGTGGATCTTCTTCTTCATCATCGTCACTGTGCCAACAGGCATATTAGCTTATGTGATATCTGGTATTTCTCAGTGTGTTCTTGTACAATCTATGATACACAGTGTTCATGAATCGTGTTGCTCTTACGTTCGTGATTTAGCCTTGTTCTCTTGCTGTCGTTATACGCTTCTCATTGTGCAACGCCATTCAATCATATACTATACTGTTCCTCTCTATCTGTTCTTTCCTTGACCTCATCGTATATAAACGTGTCGTTCGTATGTAAAAGATACGATTGCGCAAAGTTCTGTTATATCATTCCTCTTTCCTTTCTTCTCTCGTTTTGTATTCTCTTTTCCCTCTCTTCTCTCCCATCCCTCTTCTATATAAGCTCATGTTATGTATTAGATAGTTACATTTGGATGTAGTGCACTGTCGAATAAACATCATGCTCACAATGAGATCAAAGACATTTAATGTGTCTCTCCATTTGTCACATAACGATAATGGAATGCACTAGTAGCTCATTAACATCAATGCCCAACCAGTGGTAGAGCTGCATCACCCATTTTTCGTTACAGTCACTCTGATTAGTTTCATTAACGTGTGATTCTTCATCATCACTTGCACCTCTGGAATGGCGTAGATTATCGAACAGAGCGTCATCCCCTCGCATCGGAATAAAACACCAATATTCAGGATTACAATCGAGAAATGCTCGTAATGAGATCGGACATCGAGCTGAATGTTTATAGAGACGCATTTGATTGGCAGCTCGTCTCCTAAGATAAAGAATTCCATCGGTTCAACCTACCCATTCTGTCAAAACAAATCATTTACTGTATTTCATTCAAATCAAAGATATTTGGTGAAACCATCGGGCTGCCAGTTAACTTTTCATGAATGATTCGATTACCATGACGTCGATGATCTATGTTGAGTAGAAAAATATAGACCCGTTCTCAAAAACACCAGTTATGACAAAGAATGCTTACAAGTCATGGGACTTCCTAACGAATTATCAGTAGAATCGACATAATCATATTTACCACAAGGACATGTCATTACATAGATAATATCTTTAGTTGAACAGGTCTAAATAGCAATGATCAATGCAGAGGAAGTATATCTTAGAATCATTGGACATACAACTGGACAATTTAAATAGGTTGTATATCCATTGAGGAAGCGATGAGAAGAACTCGCAGTATAATCGATAACTGGCCATTGCTGACTTTTGTCCCACTGATAACATGGAAAACAACATGAACAAGGTGTACCAGGACATTTTGTCATTCTATACTTTCTTTCAGGTTCATTCTCATGACAGAATAGACCCTCATCGATTGATTGTGGTTGAGCTCGTCGAAAGGAACATGTTTTCATGTAGAATACATCGACTAGGAAAGTAATCGAGTGTTCAAATAGCATCGATAGATACTGACAATGATAGACTTACCATCGATCTGAAGAAAGAATTCCAATGCAAAAGACATTTGTTGAGTGTTGAAATTTTGATTTTGAAAGGCATGATTATCATCATGGAAGACAAGATACCGAAATGCTTCATAGATAGCAAGTAAAGTATAACAAATACTACGTAATCGTTGTGCATTGAAAACGAGTAGAGATTTCGGTACACGTAAGCGTTGAGATAATTCGCTGATATCTTCCTTCGTCAAACTAAAGAGACCTGCATAATTGTAATTTTCCATCAAAGTCAATGACTCCGATGAATATGCAGAATGTTCACGTCGAAGTCTTTGATAAGGACCCAGACGATTCACTAGAATTGAAAGACAAACGAAGAAAGTAGTCGAGATACGTCTTTTCTATTCAGTTTTTCACTCTCACTTGGTACATTGGTCAGGAGAAGACATTTGTGTGGATCCATATCTTTTGTAGGAAAGATAGGTAAATAAACACATCGTCCTCGATTGTCTTGAGTAAGTGTTAGAGGTTGATATTCAGTGGATGTTTCAAGACAAATCGATTGTGTAGCTCGTTCAGCTTCGTGAAAATCAACGGTGTGACAAGCCATTTGATAGAGAACAAAAGTAGTAGAATGATCTATAAGGAAAAATAAAAACAGAACTAAAAACACATGACTAATATTGTCTTCTTGACAAAACAAACAAGAGAATCAACTTCAACAGAATATGAGATAGTTCAGACCATGAATAAATCACGACGAAGCGGTAATAGTTTTGTATACAAATACTTTGCTCTGATAGTGATCATGCTGCTTCTTCGATCTTACACCATCGGAGTATCGACGAAGAAAGTATTCAATCGATGTTCCAGACTCAAGTCTTGCCGTTCTACCATTTTATTTTGTCGAGCTAGAATCGCCTCTTTGAGCGTTTCATTCCAATCACAGCTTGACAATTTGTTCAATAACTCCAACAATCCTTGTTGATAACCACGTCGAATACTTTGAGTAACTTGTAAATGCAGAGATAAAAGATCAAATTTGTATTGTGTCACTAGTTTAGAACAAGATGACACTAGACTACCCACTTGATCTTTATCGATCATTGCATTCGACAGTAGGAATTCCATTGAAACTATTGTTTCATTGATCAAATGATCCATACGACAGGGTAAACGTCGAAGAGAGATTCGTTTCCGCAGAATTTCTTCGTTCTCTTTCGACTGAAATGCATCAGCTGTTGTTCGCCAGATCTTCTTTGCTAGATCAGCCTAAATTCGAATCGTCCATCGATCGGTGAACATTCACTTTTTTCCTCTCATGAACTAACCTGCTCTTTTGTCGGTTGTAATTCATAGAATGAATGAATCAGATAATGATCATCCATATTTATGACAAGCATTTTCTTCTTGTATTCGAATTCATCTCGTAGACGCTTTTGACCATTCTTGACACATTCATCGATGGCATACGCTATTATATGTGGATCAAATGATGGTTGCCATTGTTGAGCATTCTCTTCCAATTGCTCCAAAGATCGTTGTAATGCTTCGATTGTGTGCTGCATCTGATTTTGAAGTGTTGTCTGTCTTTTCTCGATGGTATGCTTCTGAAGACCATAAGCACGACAAGTTCGATGTTGTTTAGCAAAGGCTCTTGCTAATTCTGATCCCCAGAATCCTTCTTTGAGACCAACATTATAATGAGCTTGCCAGAACTGTCGTTGTAGATCGGTTTAATTCAGATCATTGGTTAGTTCAATCATTTGACGAATGGAGGCAATCTTTTCTGTGGCATTCAGATACTTGATGATCTCATCACCACCCGTAATAGCTTTGGCCAACATTCGGACGAAAACATGATCAGGCACTTTCAAGTAGGACGGTTTGTATCGTCGAATATGATTGTATGGTAACGGATCTTCTTTCTCAGTAGCCGTCATTGCTTCTGTAGTCGCCTGTTTCTTGGCTTTTGGTTGTGATACTGACAACTGACTGAGTGATTGGGACAGATGCTCAGTTTGATCATTATTCTTTTCTTGTCGTTTACGTTTATTCGTAGCTCTCATCCGCTGCTGACTTTGACCAGATAATGTCTAAATTTCAACATGGGGGAATTAGAAGTTCTCAGCATTTCATGATTAGACTATATAGGAACATACTTCCATTGGCTGTTCATCTTCTTCTTCTTCCTCAGCCATATTGCTAAGATCTTCGTCGATGTCAGCGATATTCTCATCGTTGTCCTTCTTTTCTTCTTGACGACGTAATTTTCGTCGTTGACGTTGTGCTCTTCGATTACCACGACACTTCTTCTTCTTTGTCTTTTGTGTCGTTGTCGTTGTTGTTGCTGTTGTATCTTCGTGTCCGGTCAAGACTTGTGTAGGCGATAATAATTCATACCAACGACCTTGTCCATCTTGACTAGGAGTTTTCGTCGTTTTTTCAGTGCTCACTTGTTCACGTGGATTCATGATGATAGGAATAAGAAAACAAATCTACAACACACAGAACAAAACACAATCAATTTGTTGTTCAGAGGGATAATGAAACAGATCTAGTTCAATATCTGTTAATTTATTTATTTAAGAAACTAATCAGACGGAGGTGGATCAACCATCATCGGTTCAACTTCTTGGTCGGATGTGTTGAAATCGATCATTTTGTCAGTACACTGGCCAATCGTATTTTTACCACCACAGCTATCTGTCAAAGTTCGATCATGGATGTTGTCGATGTCTGCTTCATCTTCGTCTGTGTCACCTATTGCAAAGAAGAAATAAGATAATTATTCTCTAAGTCTTATATGCCTTTACTGACCTGAAACTGGCGATGACGAAGTTTGAGTGGCTATTTCGGTAGCATCACTGATATTCTAGTCATCATCAAAGCAAGTGATGTGTAGAGACGAGAAACAAATACAATCAAATTACCTCATTTGTTGTTGATGATACGATCGAAGAAGAATTAGCCACAGCTGAACGAACTGCCCGATCAAAAACATCGTGGTAGAAGTACATCTGGACATGAAAATGATAATTGCTTACGATATTCTTCAGCTTTAGCATCCAATTCTCGACAAAATTCTTCGTCATTGAATAGTTCTTCGAACATTCGATCAAAAGTTGTATCAGTATCGGATGAAGTCATCTAGAATGTTTTTTAATACAACATCAAGATTTCACAAAAGAAACGTAACAGCAGTCTAATCTAAGGAAACAAGATGAACAAAAAGAACATTTATTTGTCTGATTTCTCTTTTTCTTCAGATCGTTTGATGGTGGGTACATCATTGGTAATTGATGATTGTGATCCAGCAATACGAAATGTCACTTGACATGATCGAGTCGGAGACGGAGGCGCCAGAATAGGTGTCGAAAATGCTGACGACACGGTTGCAGGTGATGGTGGTGGTGTGAGACATGTCAAGTAGATGCGTCGCGTTGATTCATTGATTGTTTCTACAGAAAATAGACCAAAACATACATTAGCGATCTTTCTTCTTATCAGAACACTCACGAATGTGCTGCACGATATCTGATGAGAGTGAAGGTGACGATATGTTTGGCGATTGATCCATGGTTGAACGTGAGAACCGAGTTCAATCTACAAAACAAAAAGATCTGTTCATGGGATTGTCACCGGTCGCTTGACTAGCATCTCGAAAAATAGTTTATTGATCTGACAAGTAATTTAGAAAATAGAACACACACAAACTCTCTGTTTTAACATTGTTCATCTATGACCAAATAGCATTGAGATAGATTGCTGGATCGAAATCATTTTCATCATAGAAGGCAATACTGAAGTCTTCTTCTTCTTGAGAACATGATGGATATGATGCTAAGAGTAGATCAAAGTATTCTTTCCAGTTGGTTGACTCTCCGTTTTGATCTTCTTCACAGAGATTTGTAAGATCTGCAAAGAGATCATCGCATGGTTTCGATGGCTCATCGATCTATAAGGCAAAAAGAGACAATATCTCTATACTTTTCTAGGTGAACATCTGCTTACTTCACATCGAGATAGAATGACATGACAATTGAAGCAATCACACAATGGAACATCAGCCTCCAAGTCTTCTATATCTCCATTTACGCTGATATCTCCATCTCTCACATCATCCAATTGAAAGAAATCCTAGAATAATCCCAATGAATACACTCAAAACAAACATTTCCACTTACTTCATCAGATAACATATCTTCAGGTTCATCGTCCAGGCAATCAGCAGTATTTTGACTAAAGATGGTCAACTTTTCTGGCAACCGAAACGGCCATTCTTGAGACATGATACGCTTTTGTCGAGAGAAGGGATATCTACAATAACAAGAAGACAAAATCATGACAACAGGAACAACAACAAGAATGAAAGAAGTTTATTCAAATATGTACAAAAACACACATTTTCAACAAAAAGGATCAACTCCATCTTGCATTGTAGTGAACAATTTCGTCACTGCCAAACAATCATTGACAGCGTATGCAATCAATTCACGACTTTCGTCTACTTTTCTGTTGGTGATGGTAAATCGACGAGTATCTTTGGAATCGAGACATCGACTCCAATTACTCTTCGTTCGACTTTTGTCGAGAAATTCATCGAATAGATAGCCAATTGCTTTCTGCAATGACCATCGATGATTCTCGTGTTTCACCGGTCGATAGGGACATGTACAATTGGTCTGATCGTCTGCATGAGGCGATAGACCACATCCATGAGGATATTGTCGATTGTACCACGATTTGAAGCGATGTTGTACATCGATCGTGTTGATCTGTTTGATCAGATCCGATGAGAAGAGACCATAGTCGATGAATGCTGTCAGTTCATCGACAATATCACCCCAACCAAGAATCAACTTGTCCTGTTGAAAGATGACCTTCAATAATGCTCGAATGAGCCAGGACGAGACTAAAGCTGGATGAGGCAGATGACATGCTTCGACCAGAATCACCACGGACTGCTCTCGTATCATTTCAATTTGAATAAGAGCAGGCTGATGAGAATAATAGTCCTGCTCAGTATCAATTGTAAATGTCGTCGTTTGTCGAGCTAATTCAATTAGACTTTGCATGAGGATGGTCGGTGTTGAATGATTGATTAGATAGACATCATAATCGTTCACTGGATGAAAAGGTGGTAAGACACTGAACATCATATTGAGTTTTTGTTGTCGTTCATTTCTTCGTTGTTTCGATGTCATATTGATAATTTATCTACAACACAAAAGAATAAGGAGGAGTAACAGTTTTATTATAACAAGAAACATTCAATCTCTAATCAGCAAATAGAAATAGAAAAAAACGATGGTTTCTTCGCAGTCAATGTTCGATAGCACGATGTCGGTTGAGCCAAGAGAGTATTCAAACTATGCTGATGTTTTGTTGTCAAAATAATCTTTGATCTCTCTGGAGAAAATAGTCGATGTTGTTTGAAATATTGCATCCAGAGATGACGGAAGCTTTCGTCGAACTTTGATCGTGGTCCATACTCGTAGAGATAATGGAAATGAAATAGTTTTCGTTCATCATTGACTCGTTGAATTTTCTCTGACATCACACGCTGTTGTTCGACAAATGTGAACACTTGTGTGCGAAATCGGTCGTAAAGTTTCTGATCCTGACAATAACGCATTGCATTGGCATTGAAATATTGAAAGAAATGATCGACACGTCGTTCGACGAAATACAATGAATAGCCATTGGCAAGACATGTTAACTCGAGATAGATTCGTTCCTGTACGAAATCCACCACAGATGTACAAAAGCACACTGCTCGAAGTAATGTAAATCGAAGCCAATCACTGTGTTCTTCAATAGGATGATGAACTACATAGGGTAATGTATATTGTTGCAGATAGGCAGGTTGATGATTGACACAGCTATAGACATGACCTGATCGATTCTCGAGATAAGCATTCATAAATTGAATTGTTGAATTAATTGCAATCTGTTGATGTACATTTGTATCATTTTCTTGAAGCTGTTGCAATAGAGTCTGCAGTTCTTCGTGTGACCCATTCCAAGTGAAAAAGATGTCATTTTTGTGTCGACCAAAGAATTGTCGTCGTGCATTGATTTCTTTCAAAATCTTCTTTTGCCATTGAAAGAGATAGATTTTGGCTAATGTTTCAGTGAGAGGAATCGTTGTTGGACTACCTTTGACACAAGTATACATCTTTTCATCATAGACGAATGCATTATTGTACAGAAACAATTGTACAAGATTCTTAATGTGTACGATTGAGACCTTTTCTAAAGTATTTCCTGGTAAAGTATCCCGTAAGAACTGTTCTAAAACATCAGCCATTACTGCATGTGGAGCCATAGTATAATAATTTGGCACATGAATCGTGGCAAACAGAGTTTTCGATGAAATGGCTCGAATAGTTTGACTGAATTGATAAAACTTCCGGCCGAAGTCTGTATCATCGTAGAATGTTGTTGATTTCATTGTCAGATGAGTTATTGGTCGAATCAATCGATCCAAAAATTGACCTAATAGCCATGTTGGACCTTCATAAGCAGAAATCACTGGCTTCATTGATACTTCATTGTCCAGTGTAATCATTGGTAAGAAGTAGAGATACGGTAATTTGATGGTCGATGGATCAACTGTTAATCGTTTCATTAGTTCATCATCGATTCCTTTCTTTTCATGGACTCTTCGCAGAATATAATTCATTGACTCGATCATTTTATAGACATCCATTTGCCATTCAGTTCCATAGCGTTTCTCATTGATGATTAACTGAAATTCGAAGATATTTGTTTTTGTGACAAATGTATTTGCTTTTTCTTCGAATTCTTTTCGATCTCCCAAATAAAATGTATTGATATTATCAGCTGTTCGACGTAATATAAGATGTGATTGTTGTTGTTGCAGGGATTGTCGAATCGATTGCATCACTTTCTTCTCATCTAATGCACGCTGACACAAATCAACAGGTATCGGTTTTGGGAACTGTTCGTTGAATTGATCGAGTAATTTCGTGTGAATATTCATTGATAGGGCAATATTCACTTGATGCTTGGCAAAGAGACGAGTTAACTGTAATTTTAATGGTCCATACAATTCTTTTGTCGTCTCATTCATCGATGAGGGTGAAGATGAACTGAATAATTGACAAGGAATGACATAAGTTGGACCACGATTCAATAATTCCAATTGTTTCTTTGTCAACGAATGTGGCGTATGAACAGACATACATGGACCAAAACCAATTAACATTGATGTTGTATTCAGTTGTCGTTGCATTCGTCTGTTATAAATGATTCGCCATTTATCTGTGATATTGATAAATCGTTGTTCGATCAAATTGGTTAGATTCTTTGGCATCGGTTGACTTGTATTCGAATCATGATGATTCTTCCACACCAACTCGATATTTTCATTCAATTGTTTCTGACATTTATCATAGGCTTGTTCAGCACTTGTAATATGAACAGCCATATAATCAGTCATTTTCTGTCGAATCAATTGTTCATGTCGATTGGATGATGCTGATGGAGTTATTTCAATTGACTTGACAATATCTAACATATTTGGATGTAATTCTGATGGTATTCGATGAAGAAAGACACTTTGTTTCAGTTCCATCAGGAGACGTCGTGCCTTTTCGTATTCGTATCGTAGATTATAGAGACGATGTGCTGTTTCGATTTGATATTCTGTTGGCTTTTCTTGAAGAAAGGCTCGTTCAAGTATTATTGTATCATATTCACATGTAAGTAGACCAATTTCTTCATCATATTTCGCTCGAATATGCTTCATTCCATCATGTTCAACAATATAATCAAGGACTTCTTCGAACGCCGACGTAAGATGAACACATTGTTTTTTCAAACTGTTCAGCTGTTGCTTGTACTGGTCTAGTCGGACATCGATCTGTTGTAACTGACTTCGCAGCATACTTTCATAGACGATCCCATCAGCATCATCATGACTATGCCCATATTGTTGTGCCATTATTTTCACTTCATCCGGCCAAATACATCGATCAACATGTTTCGATCCATTTGGATCGTCTTTTAATGTACCTGTTCCTGCTTGTAGATAGATGAGAAAGAGTCGTTTCTCTTGATCAAGTTCAGCTAGTTGATGTTTTAAGATTGCCATCTGACGTAGATCATCGATTGAAATCGAGGTTTGCCCTTTAAGAAGCTTTTTCAGTCGATGTTCGAATAAAGCATTGGTTGCCATCAGATATGTTGGTATCTGATCATGACACGTTGCTTCTGTCTGTTCTGGTTCAGACACTTTCATCTTCTTTCGTGTCTTATCAGCTGTGGGTGAATCACTTATCTGTCGTTTGGTCTTATTCACCGATAATTCATTCAACTGTTGAGACAATCTTTCGTCTTGTCCTTCGTCCATATCTTCATCATCATCATCGCCGCTATCTACATCCATGGCTACTACCACTTCTTCTTTGGTAATGGTTGGATGTACAGTCGGGGACACGAAATATCGATTTAAATCATCGGCATCATGCTCTGTTGGCTCATGATGGTCATCGAGAATATCAAAATGAAGATCTTTGAATCGTTGTATTTTATTCAACTAGAACATCAAGAAAGACATGATACATTCTCTGTGTATAGTTAAGTGTCAATGAAACTTACATTTGATTTTCCATGTGTTTGTTTACTTGTCGTCGTCGTTGCCATGAAAATCTGAAATATAACGAGAAGAGAAGAAACTGATCAACTTCTAGTCCTACACACAATCTCTTTATTTCAAAATGGAGAATGTCGAATCTATGACAAAACAAACAAAACTTAATGCTCTGTTTCTGTAAGATCAACAAAAAATTTCAACGGAAATAGTCGCGTTGACCAATTCTGTGGCAATGGATGCTGTTGCAATTCAATCTCATCGAACTCCATATCTACAATAACAATCAATAGATCCTATGGACAAACAGCAACAAGAAAAGCCTAAACACTATTTATTCAAAATCGATTTGGAAAACGTGAGGGTGAGGAGGGTGAAGATAGATAAATGCGAATCAACAATGATTTGCTGTAAATAGAAGAATACGAATAAATAATTGAATAAATAGATTCTTTTTTGCTTTTTTGATTTCTTTTTAGTTTTTAGTTTAGTTTTTAGATTTTAGATTCTATGAATCGAAGAATGAAAGATAAATAATTAGAAGAATTTGATTTTAGAATTTAGAATTTGGAATGAAGAGATGAACTGTCACTTGATTGAATGACAGAATAGATTAATTGGAAGAAAATGAATGGAAGATTGTTTGAAGAAGAAGATTAAGTGATAGATCGTCAATGAAATGAAATGAATAGATTAGATGAATTGAGTAGATTTTTTATTGTTTTTATGAATTGTTTTTAGTTTTTTGTTAGATTTTTATATTATTTGAAAATAAATGAAGATAAATATATGAATGAATAAATAGTTGAATAAATATGTTGTAGAAAAAATGAATTAGGTTGGTAGATATGTAGATATATAGAAGTAGAAGATTAAATTAAATTGGAATTGGAATTATTATTGAGAATTGATTTGGACTTGTTATTTAGAATTGAGAATTGATTTGGAATTGTTATTTAGAATTGAGAATTGGATTGGAGTTAGAATTATTAAGAAGAATTTAGAATTTAGTTGGAGTTATTATTTAGAATTGGAGTTGAAGTGATTGTATAGAGATTAGAGTTGAATGGATGGAATTATTGGAGAATTAGATATGTAGATGAAGATGTAGTGGAAGATATTTGTAGATAATTGTAGAGAGAGAGATTTGATTTTTGATGAGTGTAAATGATTGCAGAAGATTTGGTTGAAGTGTTTGATAAATAATTTATTTGAAGAATATTTGAATACAATTGAAGCAACGCGTTTCGTATGTTTTCGTCAGGCTATCTGATTTCTTCTGCTTGATGACTATCCTTTTATACACTCTTACTCTCTCTCACTCTCTCTCTCGGCTAATTAATATCGGACTGACCTGTCGTTCTCGGTCACTGTTCTATTTTTTCTCTCTCTCACTGTCTCACTGTCTGACTCGGCTGACTATCTAACTCTAACAGGCGACATCGCTATGTGAGGGTGAAGGCGAAGGCTTGGCTCAACTCGAAATACAAAAAACTTTCTCAAAACTAAATACTCGTCCATGAAAAATACACTCTAAGGTGTTTACAATAAAACAATACTAAGAATAATTTGGAATTTGTCGATGATTTCTTCTGTTCGTGGTTGTTGTTCATGTTAATTGTTCTTGTTCGCATCGACCATCTGAAATAGATTGGAAAAAGAAAAGACGAGTATCCTTGTTCAAGAAGTAGATTATTCTTCGAGATTCTCTGTGATATTCTTGATAAGATTCTTTGACGGTTTCTTATGGACTAAAATACTCTTAAGATTATCTGCTAAACGATGAGCAAAAATCACTGGTATATCACTGAGTGGTGTTTCTTCGAAGATTTCTTGCCAGATCTGATGAAATTTAGATCCAAAACGAGCTAAACTTGGTGTGTATGTAAAATGAAGTAAAATGTCTTTATCGAAGTTAATCTTCGCTCTTTCTTTCTTATTCCACTGTGCATCTAATGTCCTTTCTCGGAATTCACTGTGTCTCTCGCTGAGAATTAATTGACTGTCTTTCTGTTCGGTTAATGTTTCGAAGAAACGTCTAAAATGATTATCGATGAATTTCGGTGGATATTTATTTAGAAGTAGAGTTATTCGAATTTTCTCAATCTCATCTCTTAGATCTTCAGTGTGTGAACATATTCTCACTGCTCGAAGTAGTGCTGAGAATGGAATGTTCTTCATGATGTGCGGTGGATGAGCTGAATTAAAAGGTAGAATGTATGGTTGCGCAGCTAACTTTCTAAAAACTTTTGTTCTAAAATTCGCATTCTCAACTGACACTCTAACATCTAAATAATCGACATGTTCTCCTGTTTCGAATGTTAATCCAATGTTCTTATCTTTCTTTCCGAGTTCACTGAGATATCTGTTCATTTCTTCTTTCGTTCGTCTTGTTGTTAAGAAGATGTCATCTCTGAATCGAAGGTATAGTTCACCTTCTTTCTCTTGCCGTTCTTTCACTTCTCTTTCCCATTTCCTCATGTACACGTCAGCTAATACTTGTGTACATTCTGATCCCATGGGTCCTCCTCTCACTTGCTTATAATATTTAATTCCCTGTCCTGGTAACTGTAAAGCAAAATACGCATTGTCTAAAACATGTCGGAAAAGTGTTCGCACTGTATTGATTGGTATTTCTCCTCTCACTTTGTTGATCTTATTCTGTCCTAACATTTCACAGATGGCTATAATTGATTCTTGTTGAGGAATCATTGTGTACAAGTCTGTGATGTCGAATGTGTAGAGGAGTGTTTTCTCATCTGTTTTATGTTGTTTCAAATGTTTTAAAAATCCAATACTGTTAGTTAAACTATAAGGTGTCAATTGATCGAAAATCGGTCGAATCAATTGATCTAGAAATGCTGAAATTCTCTGTGTCGGTGATTTCATTCCTGACACGATTGGTCTTAACGGTTCGCCTATCTTATGGTCTTTCGGATTATAATAAAGATGAGGTAATTCAGCCTCGTCATGATTCGGTTTTAATTTATCGAAGTATTTACCAGGTAAAAGATTCTTATTGATTAAATCGCGGAGTAACTGTTCTGTCTTCTCGATCATTTCTTTCAGTGGTGACTGTTCAATTTCTTGATAGGCATCTGTCTTTTTCATGTATGCGATAGATTTTTCGATGTATGTTTCCGGTCGATCGACATGGAATACTTTTGATTTATCTGTTTGTCTGAAGATCACTTTACCTTTACTTTGTTCCTTTCTAAATCTTTCCAGTGTCTTTTCTAATTCTTTATCTGTCCCTACGTCTAAATTAATTTGTTTTCTCAGTTCTATTTCTAGTCGATCAGCGAATTGATTGACTATCGGCGGTTGTCTCGCTATTGTTCTTGTTTCTCTTCTCCATGCTTCAGACACTTTCTCTTTCATTACGTTGATTTCTTTCTCAAGTCGATCTAATGCTTGTTTAGGATTCGATGGAACGAATTTAGGACCATAATTAAGAATTCTTCGTTCCTCTTCCGTAAGGGCTAGTACTTTATTATTCACTTGCGGTGGAAATCCTAACTGAGTAAAATGCGGATGTAAATTCTTTGCTTGACTGTTCTTCTCTACGGCTCGTGCTATTTTCCTACTGTTCTTTGCGCTTTTCTGACTAAAAAATTCAATTTCTTTTCGTTTCTTTGGTTTTGTCGCATCTCTACTGTATGAATTATGTCGCGATAGGCTTTTTTCAGATCACTCGGTATTTTCTCGGCTAGTGCTTGATGTTCTTTTTCACTCTTCGTTATCTCTGCTGTCTTTGCTGTCCTCATGATCGATGTTATCTCTAGCTTCGCTTTTCTGATGACACTGTTCCATTGTTCAGTGTATTGTTCTTTCGCTTCATCAGTTAAATCTCGACTTCGAAATTGTAATTTATCCATGATGTTCAATGCCGGCGGTGGCATATTCTCATTCAATCGTCTATCTAGCTTATCTAATTGAAATTTCAAGTGCAGTGTTCGTTCGAAGCTCTGTTGCGCTAAATTAATCTGTTCGATGTTCTCTCTTGTCGCTTTTTCTTTAATTACTCTTCTCGCTTGTTCATTCATCTGATCGAGCAGAAGATTATCCAATCTTTGCTGGTTCGATTTCTTTACTGTTTCTATACTCGGATCGACACTGTTCTTCGTATACGCAATGACTGTTCTCTGATTGTCTTTACTGAATTGTTCAAGTAATTTTTCCAATTCTTTTTCGATTTGTTTTGCTTTTCTTTCTAAAAATTCTCGATGTGCTGAAATAGCTTCAAATGTCGCCTCTACTCGAAACGCTTTAAAATGATATATACATTCAATCGGTATGATTGGAAAATCGAAAAGATTAAAACGGCTATTATCATAGTCTTTCGGAATGACTGAAGGAGAATGCGATTGGATTGAGTCTTGTTCCATTGGAACAGCTCTTTCTTCCTGCTCTACTCTATTCGTTGTTACTGTTTCTTTCGCTTGTTGTTGTTGTTCATTCATGTCACCGAGTGGTTGTGGTGCACTGATCGGTGTTCTCGGTGTACTTTGTCGCGGACTGACTGCTGGTGGTGGTGGTAGTCCGGGAGGGGTACGCGGTAGTGTGGGTGGAGAGGAAGGTAGTGTCGTGGTAACCGTCATCGTAGTGGGATGCGGATCCCGAGGCGGTTTAAATGTGTGTGCGAATAATCTTTGTCGTTTATTTATTGGACTAGCTGGAGTGTCAGGTCTTTTCGTTGTTGTTGTTGTTTGCCCTGACTGTTCTCGACTCGGATTCAATGTTAATGTTGGGCTACCTACTGGTGCTCTTGGGTCATTCTCAACTGTTGTTTTCTTTTTCTTTTTATTCTTTTCTTTCTTCTTTCTTATTGCGATCGTTGTTGTTGTCGCTGCTGCTCTATTTCTATCTGTCGGTGATAGACTTGTATCTCTTAGCTTTCTCTTCTTCTTTTCATCGTCATCCGTGTCGCTGGTCAATTCACTCAATCGATGTCTACTGTTCTGATGCGCACTGCTACTGCTGCCGCTACTGTTAATGTTCTCATCGTTGTCACTGATAGTGATGTTTAGAATTGTCGCATGTCTTTCTGGGTATGGTCTTGCTATAGGTATTTCTTCGACATCAATCATTACGACATCGTTCATTTCTTTTTCTTTTTCTTTCTCTTTCTGTTTTTCTTTCTCTTTCTGCTTTTCTTTCTCTTTTCTGTTCGCAACATGTTCATAGATTTTCCATTTCTTGCTGTCTTCACTGTAGTGTTCGTACTGATAGAAGAGATTTGTTATGTTAAACAATTTCTCTTTTTCTTTTTCGATTTCTTTCGGTGGTTCATTTTCTCGAAAGTACTGTTCGAATATCTTTAATTTATGCGGATAGAACTTGATTAAAGTTCTAGATGGCAGATTGATCTGCCGATTACTGTTTTGTCTTTGCTGTACTGTTTCATCCGTCGTTACTGCGAATGGTTGCGTATTATTATGATTACTGTCCCTACTTGTGGTTCGATTTTGATGTTGTTGTCGTTGCTGTTGTTGGTGTTGTGCTCGACCGATACGATTAAAATTATGACTAGAATGTCTTTGATAATGATTAGGTGGATGTCGGTGCTGTTGTTGTTGCTGATAATGATGCTGATGCTGATGATGATGAGGGGATGGAGATCGGTAACGCTGGGAAATCGGATTAAAATGTTGGTTAGAAGTTAAAATATGATCACGATGATGATTCACTGTTGGTCGACGTTGCTGAAATGGAAGAGGCATGTTTGTTGAAGAAATTCGACTTACTCGCGTATTGAACCATCGTCGAAGAGCTTCTTCATATTTCCATCTACCGGTGGTGATCGTCGGATGTAAACCATCTTCCTCTCGAATATCCACAAGTCCCAGACGCGCATCAATTACATCAAAATCTAACTGTGTAGATAAGATTCGAAGACGCTCATTAAATTGAATATGAAGATCGCCGATCTCTTCCGATGAGATAAATCTCGTCGGCTTCCATCTTGGTGATAATGCCATCCAACCAATGGTTCGTACACTTGTGTATGTCCGCCGGATGAACTGTATTAAGTCACTACATCGACGGATGGATTCATTAACGCCATATCTGGCTACATCATTGGTACCTAAAGAGAAAACAATTGAATTTTTATTTCTTACCGTGTTATGGCCTTGTGCTGTGTTTAACCAATTCACCATTTTCTCACAGTCACAACCAGATTCGTATGATAACTGAATATCGATGCCATGATTTCCTCTGATGGCATATGTTCTGACTCGTGATAACATTGAGTCAGACAAGATTATTCCTTGCTGATGATTATTGTTATTATTATTATTATTGTTATTATTGTAGGTTGGACGACGACGATGTGGAATAGGTGGTGGTAATGGACGTGATTGGTGTTGTTGTTGCTGATGATGGTGGTGATGATGATGATATGATGGGGAAGGAGAGGGGGATCGTGATGGTAAACGTGATAAGAGATGGAATCGAGAATTGGATGGGGATGATGAGGGTAAGTATTGTTGTCGTCGTCGTGGACGATATTGTTGTGCTTGATGGAATGGACGTGTTTGATGTTGATTGGGATGATAGAATGGGTTGGGATCGAATAATGATGGTAGTTGCTCTCGTCGTTGTTGCTGTTGATATCGAGAGGACGAACGAGAGCGAGAATAGTAATGCTGTTGTTGTTGCTGTTGGGGACGATGACGACGAGGTGGTGGTGTAGGTGGTCGTCGTGGTGGTTGTGGCTGGATGTTGGTGTAGCCGTTGAACGTTGTGGTGGTGCCAGTCTGAAATTTAAACAGAGAAGAGTACTTTCTCTGATTGGCACCATGAAGAGAGGGACGGGGAGGAACACGAGCAACTAAGTGCTGATATTGTGGTGGTGGTGGTCGAGTGAGTGGACGAGCTGATAAATAAGCTGGTCGAAATGGTGGAATGTTGATGTTGTTGAGGGTGGTGGTAGTGTTTCGTGGGGCTAAGATCGATGAATAGGTAATTGAAGACATTGTTGATTCTTTTCGTCAATAGAGATGAGGTGATGATTGAACGTGTGTGTGTGAGGGTGAAGATAGATAAAAGCGAATCAACAATGATTTGCTGTAAATAGAAGAATACGATTAAATAATTGAATAAATAGATTCTTTTTTGCTTTTTTGGTTTCTTTTTAGTTTTTAGTTTAGTTTTTAGATTTTAGATTCTATGAATCGAAGAATGAAAGATAAATAATTAGAAGAATTTGATTTTAGAATTTAGAATTTGGAATGAAGAGATGAACTGTCACTTGATTGAATGACAGAATAGATTAATTGGAAGAAAATGAATGGAAGATTGATTGAAGAAGAAGATTAAGTGGTAGATCGTCAATGAAATGAAATGAATAGATTAAATGAAATGAGTAGATTTTTTATATATTTTTTTATGAATTGTTTTTAGTTTTTTGTTAGATTTTTATATTATTTGAAGATAAATGAAGATAAATTAATGAATAAATAATTGAATAAATATGTCGTAGAAAAGATGAATTAGGTTGGTAGATATGTAGGAGTAGAAAAATTGAATTAGATTATTGGAATTGGAATTATTATTGAGAATTGATTTGGACTTGTTATTTAGAATTGAGAATTGGATTGGAATTAGAATTATTAAGAAGAATTTAGAATTTAGTTGGAGTTATTATTTAGAATTGGAGTTGAAGTGATTGTATAGAAATTAGAGTTGAATGGATGGAATTATTGGAGAATTAGATATGTAGATGAAGATGTAGTAGAAGATATTTGTAGATAATTGTAGAGAGAGAGATTGAGGGAGAATTCTTCAAAGACATTGCCATTTCGCCAAGGAATATAGTTGATTTTGCAACTACCACAACATAGCGTAGACATAGACGTAGACGTAGAAAGGACGCTACAGATCATCAGCTAAAGTTTCTTCTTATACGCAAACACATAGCTGCGGCGTCCTACAATGTATTTCAATTGAGAAATTCTCTTGAAAATCATAGGAAAATGCACTTGCACAGCAGAAACACCTGCGGCGTCCTAGTTCAAAGCTGCAGCGTCCTAGTCTTAATGTAGAGCTGCGTCGTTGTTGTCTATGTTCGGGAAAATCTAGGAATCATCCTCTCTTGGGGTGTGGAATCTATAAATCACTCTCTCTATGTCTTTTTTCCATAGATTTCTCTCGCTTTATTATCTATAAATCACTCTCCCTAGGTCTTTTTTTGAGAGATTTCTCTCTCCCTTTGTCTCTCTCCCCTGGAGAAATTATAAATAGAGGTGCAGACATGTCATTTGGTCATTTGATAAGCTGTGGTCGTGCAAGTAAGTACCCCTTTCTTCTTATCGCGTTTGCGCTTACTTTCGCGTTCTTCCGTATAGTTGAGAATCGTCGCGTCGTAAAGTAGTCACTAGGAATTCTCTAGCGTAAAAGAGAGTCAATCGCCTATTGAGATGACAAGTCCAGATAAAACACCTCTTTTCGATGTAGAGCAAGTTTTGAGGGACATACTCGATCAAGTTAGGGAAGATGAAGTTCAACATTTGACTCAAGTCATAATGTCTCAATAACCAAAGAATGATGCAATGGCACAATTCCTCATCAGTCAGTTAAATATTCCATCAAAGCGAAATGAAACAGTACATGAACCATCAAGTGATAGTCATACAACAGAATCACATCGTACTCTTCCATTGATTCAATCAGGTATTGTTGCTGATCATCATCGTCCCTATGCTGAATATGGTCATCTCGATCGAGAAACAATTGCGAAAGAATGTAAATTTAATCTTCAAGTACCATCATCATCGTCATCATCCATCAATACAAGATCTTTTCGAATGAATACTAAATCATTTGCGATCACATCATGGACTAATGTATCGAAAGAATTAGTTCTTGATGAAATCAAGAGAAAGTTCAATATCGAGAATATTCAATATATTTGTATCAGTGAAGAGATCAGTGAACTAAACCATCAAAGACATCTTCATATACAGATCATTCTAAAAAATAAAGTCAACATCAAATCACGTTTTCTCGATGTCATTACTGGTGTATCTTGTAATTATCAAGTAACACAGAATGATCTAGCATGGAATGAATATATCAAGAAAGATGGTAACTATCTTGAATTCAATGAATTCAAATCAATGCGAATCCGTGGTCAAAAACAATGGCCATCATCGTCATCATCATCAGTACCTGATCAGCAATTAGTACCACGAAGTACAACATCATCAACAACAACAACAACAACAACAGTTCGAGCACAAGTCGAGGCTCGACGTCAATATGAACAACAGACAGTCATTCAAGCAATGGAATTAGCTAAGATCAATATTCATCAAGCTATGGATCTCATTCGACATGCATTACCAACAAAATTCCTTGCTCATAGTACATGGTATTTATCAACATTCAACTATATTCATCTACGAGCACAAGAAGAGATCGATCGAAATGGTCAGATTGATAAGGAATATGTCTGGCCACTATCATTTCCACAATGTACAGATCGATTACGTGAAGTGATGGATCAATGGATGCGACATCATTTCTCTCGCACTAAACGTGCAAAGTGTCTCATCATCATTGGACCGACTGGTACAGGCAAAACATCATTCGCTCTATCATTACCAGGTCGTGTCAATTATTTTAAAGAACGATGGAATCTTGATCACTGGAGTGACTATGCACGTTACTCAGTCTATGATGATATTCCATGGGATGATTTCTCGAAATTGAATTATCCTAATAAGAAAGGTCTATTGACACAGAATGGTCGAATAAATGCCACAGATAAATATCGAGGTACAAAAGAGATCAATGTGAGACAACCAGCTATTGTTCTATTGAATCCTGAAGATACTGGTTCATTATTAGCTGAACCGATCACTCTTCAGGAACAACAATTAGCTGAATATTGGAAAGAACGAGCATTCATCTACATTATGAGTGATGATGAATATTTCTATAAGAGATCGACGCCTCAACATCATCAGCCTCGAACAACTGATGAACAACATCTCTCAGGTCAGTCCTCAATGGACAATAATGAAGCTCGATTAGGTGATATCGATGAATTCGATCAGATGATCCATCGATATCAAAAGAAACATCGATCATCCTAATCGATGTACATAACCTTCTACCATGTAAATAGTGTAAATACTGTAAATATTGTACATAGTTTGATCCTACTCCCATGTATATATCCCTGTTATGTGTACATATTTATTCATATTCTTATTTATTCTCTTAGTTTTTTGTATTTTATTATATTTTTCAAATAAAAGAGACCTTCACGGTCAAAAAAAATCAATTCTCTTTTTCTTATGGCTGCCAAAAGGAATATTTACTCTTCGACAGGGACGATAGCAGATGAGAGACTGAGCATGAGTATGAATTGAGAGACTGTCTAGGATATGTTATCATCATTAACCAGCATATTGGGATCTCATATATTGATACTGACCAGATTCTAATATATCAACACATACATATCGACTAAAAGTGAGGGTGTCACGAGAGCCAAGATAACTCTGCCAACGTGAAGTATAGATCATACTAAACGTATTGATTAAAACTTACACACAGTTCTTGAATTCTAGCAGCTTTATTTAACAGCAGAGGTAGCTCAGATCTTCCTTTTCATGATGAATTTCCAACCAAACCATGATCTACTGTGTCAGCATCAGTGAAACTAACGGGTGGCCCAGGATAAATGATACCATCAGTATTTTCGACGTATCTTCGTCAAAATAAGGAGTTTTCAGGTCAAATTTTTTTTTAAACGATTCCTCTTTCGATGATCTACAAAACTGTCTTACTTTTATTCCCGAAGATAGCTACCGTTGTTTCGTGAAATACGATACAATCGATTTGTCCACGATAAGCAACTTTCAAACACAACATCTGTGCGAATTTTCTTTACAGCTCGTTTTAGTTCTTCGACTAAGCTCTTCTTAGATGTCACTTTCTCCCATTGAATGGCATGAACGAATTCATTCCATATCGAATAATCCAATGGGTTCAAGTCGGGACTATTGGGAGGCCAATGATCTTTGTCCATGGACGACGGAAAATTTTCTCGGCACCATTGTTGTGTCAGATGATGAATATGTGGTTTTGCACCATCTTGCTGGAACGTCCATTGAGTACCGAAGACTTCATTTCCGAATTTGGGGGCCACAGGAAGCACTTCTTTTATATATCGAGCATGGTCCACTGAACCTTTCTCGAAAATAACTAAGGGTGAAACCCCCTTAGAGCAAACACCAAGCCGCACCATAACCTTTTCAGGAAACTTTCGTTTTTGTTGAATGGCACCTTTTTCATCCGCTTCACTGCGATTCACGGCCCACACCCGATCATTCTGTTTGTTATAGACACCATCAATGTCGAACATTTTCTCATCAGAAAAGAGAATTCTCATCGTCTCTTCCTTATGGAAATTCGTTCGGATCCAGTTAGCGAACCTTTTACGCTTATCTTTATGTTCATCAGTGAGCCTCGGCTCACTGATCTTCTTGTAGGGTCGTAGACCCAAATCTTCCTTTAATATTCGTTGCATGCTTGTTCTCGAAATACTCAATTCCTTAGCTAGCTTTCGAGTAGAAATCAGTTTCTTGCCCTGCAACCGGTCTTTTACTTTATCAATTGTTCCTCTTGTTCGAACAATACGTGGACAACCTGGCGGGTTTGAAAGTTCAATGGACCCAGTGTCTTTTATCATTTTACACCAACGCTTCACAGTGCAAATGCTTAAAGCACGATTCAGGTCACGAAAGATTTTCGACGGTCCATCACCGTTTTCGTACTTTGAAAGAACAACTTTCTGAAGGTCTTTGCTTTTCATGATCGTAGAGAATATGAAATGAATGCTTTGGAGGTTCAGCGAGCACTTCTCAGAGAATTTTCCCCATGATTTTCAAGTCATTGACAAAGATCATTGGCCTCCCAATAGTCCCGACTTGAACCCATTGGATTATTCGATATGGAATGAATTCGTTCATGCCATTCAA